CCTTGGGCCAGATCCACAGTCTTTGCTGGGAGAGGGAAGAGCAGTACTGCAGTATGTGCTCAGGGGTCTGTCTTTCTGCTCCACAATCACAGGCAGCAAATTTTTTTATGCCTATCCTGTACAAATGTGCTCGAAGTCAAGTGTCCAGTCCGAAGTCTAAAAATTGATGTTTGTTCTTTTCTGTTGAGTTTGTTTATGCTGTCACTCTCTGGTCTGTAATCTCCATTCTGCCTTCTCCACTCCCGCTTGAAAGACTGCTTTAGGTTTCTTTATAGCTGTGTGGTGGATGAGGTTGTAGAAGATTACTCCCATCTTTTGACAACTCATCCACTCTCTCATTTCCTTGAATACCACAGTGGGCTGGTATCCACTGCAAGACCAGTTCTGCTTCCTTAGAGAGAAAGCCAATGTTGGTCCTTAGATCTGCAATTAGTTTGTGTCTTGTTTTTTGCTGGATAGTGCTTGGAGAACAGACAATGAGTCACTAAGTATAACAATTTTGTGCCCTGTGTTGTTCTTGAGTGATGAGATGTTGGACTGCAGAAGGGAGAGCAGTCGCCTCAGCTCTGAAGTTAGTGCAAATGTCACCTGCTGGTAGAAAGAGAGAGAGTTTCTGCTCTACTGCTAGGGGGGGTTTAATGAATATTCCAAAACCTCCCTTTCTGACTGCTTCTGTAGCAAAGCCGTCAATTAAAACCTGAGTCCAAGTGGTGTTTGGATACTTCTCATCAAGCATAGCAAGAGCCAAGGTTCTCTGTTGTGTCTCCGTCTAGGCATCTTTTGAAGTGATCCTTTAGGACTACATTTGCCTTCTCTGGCTTGCTTGTCCATGGTTCTGGCCTAAGTTTTTTGCACATTGCTACATCTCTTTCAAGCAGATCTTGGTGCTGTCTGTACAGTTCTCTAGCCAGGTGGTTGGGGCTCTGACGCTTCAGTCTGTTTTTTTTTTTTTTTTTTTTTTTTTTTTCTCTCTTGAAATTTAAAATGCAGTGGGTGACTTTGAAGTCTTTTTAATTTCTTATACTGTAAAAGAGTTTTGTATTGTCTTCTGAGTTCGAGTGGTTCATTATCTGCTATCCTCTATATCTCTCTGATGGGGGTGGTTTTCATGGCACCGAGAACAATCCCTAATCCTATATTCTGAACGTTGTTCAGTTTTCCCATTGTTGTCTTGGCTGCTGCAGCCCATGCATATTTCATGACTGGCCTGACTGCTCCAGTATATTCTTGTTTTGGGATTCTGGAGTTAGCGCTGCATGTGGTACCCGTTAATTTTTTCATCACTGCAAGCTTCTTGAATGCTTTCCCCTGTACTGCTTCTACGTGTGACTTCCAAGTTAGTCGCGAATCAAGTGTAACGCCAAGAAAGGTAGGAGTGTCAGTCTGTGGAATTAGCTGGTTTTTTTTAATCCAAATGTCGATTTTTTAATTTTTTAAAAATGGCCTAATGGCTGAACGCGGTTTTCGGGACCTCTCCACGGGTGATCCTCATCCACATGGTGGCACCGGGTGTTTTTTGCTTGTGTGATGCTCAGGTAGGGTAAAAGTACTACTACTACTACTACTAAAGTGGAAGCCCTGATTAGAACGTGGCCCTCGTCGTGATAACTACGAATCCCCAGCTCGTTCCCATGAGTCACGCATTGCATTTTTGTTCTTTTTAAATTACTGGGACATGTCTCCTTTTCAGACAATCTACATTCTTTGATAATGTGATGAGAAGGAGAAAACTGGAGTACATCGTGACAGTGGGAAGGTTAGAAAGGGGGTGAGGGAGACCGAGAAATCAAATGCTGGACAGTTTGACATCATGGTATGGAGGATCATCTGTTTCAGAATTGAGTGAAAGTACACGAGACAGAAGGTTGTGGATAGACATGACTACCGCTGCCACATGGCATGGACTTTAAGAAGAAAAGAAGTATTCTTTTCGTTCTCCTTGTCAACAGTTTTCAGACGAGAAGGCCACAGACCTCTATGAAGTCTGTGGTACGTCGCACATCTAGATTTGGGACAAGTAATGTTAAAATCAGTTGAGTTTCCAAAACAAGTTATCAGAATGGAGTATCGTCGTTAGATGCCAGGAAAATCCTCCTTGTACTAAGATCGTCTCAGAATCTCACTGGTTGCATGATTCTAAGCTACCTTTCCATCGTTCCAGGAGATCATGTGGTGAGCTACAGAGAGGTGTGGGAATCGCAGCCCATGGCGTTGGCGAGTGTGACTAGCAAGACCCGCCTGCGTTAAGAAAAGGTCGTCCACAACTAGAGCATGGTCAACTGAAGGACTGTCTTTTTAACCTGCCATCACTAAAGCTGAAATTTCACGATCATTGTTGTCACCATGTATATTTAATGTTTTTTTTTCCAGACGCGCAGTTTTCAAACTACTTGCAATCATCTTTTCCTTTGTTCCCATTGCCTTCTAAAACATTTCCTACTCGCAGCATCGTGCACAGCATCTTATCCCCACCATTCAGCCTTATTATCGGCATAATTTCTGTCCTGCTGGCACATATCTTCATATAGCAGACTCCGATATCTGGCGAACATCTGAAAGTCGTCATAGAGGATGTTTTTAGGTAGCATTCTAACTCCTTTTAAGTGTGGCCTCGTTATCTGAGCCTTCAAAAAACCAAAAAAAAATATATATATATATATATATTTTTCGCTTTCACCGGCGGTAAACTTTGGAAGAATGTTTTGGCCGTTCGTCCATTTTTGGACTTTGTTCTTGTCTCAGAACTTCAGTTTTGCCTACTTATCATTTTACAGATCTTGCTTGTTAGTATGCAGACTGCTGGTTTCTCGCCTCTCACGTAGATGCACTCTGATTCGAAGGAAACTCTTTTATCTGCCTTGTTTGACATGATTGTTTTGCATGCAGTGAGTCTATAAACCTATCCCCAAAATAGGGCCTCTGAACCCACACAAGGAAACACTGTTTGTAATACTTGCTATTTCCAACTTCTCAGTGTTTGTAATACTTGCTATTTCCAACTTCTCAGTGTTTGTAATACTTGCTATTTCCAACTTCTCAGTGTCTTTGATACTTGCTTTGCCACTTACTGCTAAATGTTCATCTTCGACATCGGACGTGAAAGTATTTAGCCGTTGACTCTAGTGCGAATAAATTGACAAGTTTCAGCGCGGTCTAAAGTTTTGTGAACACAAGCGTGAAAGATAAGTCAATCCAGTTCATTGTCTATTGATCTGCTTTCCTTACAGACTTCAAGTCTGGTGTTTCGGAGATCCCAGAGGGTGGTTGATGAGGCTACGAAGTTCATGCTTTGAAAAACTCAAAGCTGTCGTGGGCTACCAGATGTTTTGCAGGGGGAGACCGAGTTCTGTGAGATGAAACCTGGCGCAGTGAAGATCCTTTTGCTTTCGGAGCTTCCATCACAGATTAATTGCCAACCAAGGCTTGGGGTCTGGTCTGTCCCGCCATAGCTGTTTTCATATTGCATTTTCTCGTCCTTGCATACGTCATGTTGTTTCCTCCCCTATGTACATACTTCTCTGTCCGAAATCGCTTGCACAATGCGTAATGACAGGTTTGTAATAACTAAGATAATACTGTCGACTACTGCATACAGAAGATCAGTCATATCTGTCTATAACTGATTGGAACGTTATATTTTCTCTCATCAGTACAAAGAAATTATATTCCTAATGCAACAAAATCAACCAACATTATGGATCTACCCACTTTTTATTTGTAAAAGGGGGCAGAGAAGGGAGGGGTGAGTTGCACTAGACCCTAGGCTTAGCCGGAAGCCAATCCCAAAAGAAGAAAATTCCATCCCATCGACACCGCCTTTCTTGGCAGTGAGCTACTTTATGATAAGAGAGACATGGCCAACGTGCCTAGTTGACCATATTCTTAGGGCACTTGTTTCCACAGCGACGCACACATGCCATTTGGAGGTGACAGGTTTGATTCCTGGCATGGTAACTATAGCTTTTGATTTTTATATTGTCTACTTCTTTCTATGAGTGCCAATCAATAAAAGTCTGTTTATTAGATTTAATACTTTATGATAAAGCGGACAATGCAACAGAACAGAGTATTATTAATACATTGACAGAATAATTAAACAAAGATTCTGGACAATATTTGCTGCAGGGGAAACATGGCAGACATTTAATCAGGTTACTAATGGCAGGGGGACCCTTAGCTGGCAACAGGAGAAAGATGGCACACGTGCCAGTGTCCCGAGTGTAGTGTCAGTTCTTGATCCATTCTTACGTTTATAAAAAAAAAGGCCGTGTCAAGCATGCATCAGCTATCTTAATTTCCATTAACCTACCTGACATAAGAAAACGTAGCAGCAACAGAATGCATGCCATAGGATGCATAAATTCTTGTTCTTCTTAACATAACAAATGCAGATTGTGTTGAGGTTTACAGCTTAGCTGCGATAGTTGCACCTCTTGACCCAACGCATCCACTTCCAGAAAACTATTTCTGAATTGTTTGCCTTTTATGACATGCTTGGGTGTGGGTGGGTGAGTACCCCCACAAAACCAACAGAAGGATCCTGTTCATATGAGTATTTATCATTGTTTGTGTGTTTCTGCGTGGGGAAAACCGGTAAACAGCTAACACCAAGTTCATTTCACCACCACCAGAAAGAGGCTGTTCTATCTGACAGAAACTAGTACTTGTATCCAATGAATCAATGAGCCAAATTAAACACCAGCTTATCATCCACACTTTTATTGAGACCTGCCAGTGACATGCTCTCTCATTCCAGTTCTAGGAGACATGTATTTACACAAACACAAAACTGACATGTATTGCAACACCAACAACACACACAATAATAACTAAGTTAGGTTGTTGGGCAAATCTGGCTTCCATTACTGTGAAATACTTCCCAATGGGACATCCAGAGGCAGGTATCTCATCTCAGGAACACCTGGACTCTTGTGTCCACAGGTGACAAGCTCACACACAAGAACAGGTGACACACAATCTATGTTAAGTATTGTCATGTTCTAGAGGTCTGCCCTGACCCCAAATCCTGGACCTGTAGGCGTACCGGTCAGAGATGTCAGGCCTCCCTTGGGTTCTGAAGCAAATCTGTTTTTCTGTCCACTCCTGTGAGAACACAAAATAGCCGTTGAAATTGTATCAATAATAGCCTGGAAAACAATGTCAACAGAAGAAAGAGAAGCACGCTGCGGTCGGTAATTTTGTTGGAACATATTATTTCAGGATTGGCACCTAAGACACAGATCAAGTCCTCCAAGACTGTCCCAAATACAACATATCAAGGCAAAACTTTTGGCCAAGAGAAACATCAGTAGAAGTCAAACTTTACGGGTCGCTGAGTGAATTACAAAAGATAGTGAAGTTCATAATAGAAACAACATTGCAGATATAGATAATTTATTTCAAGCGAACGAAAGAAGACAAAGATTATCTCAATATCAATCTTGCACTGCTCAGAAACGGATTCCTCAGTTGTGGTCACAGCTTTCTAGGATCAGATGCTTACAGCAACAGAAGAGAGCAGCCAAACTTGGTGAGACTGATACAACAGACAGCGAGCAGAGGGTCTGGATAATATCACACGTGTAGAGGAAAAGATAGGCTAACGAGGTAGTTAGGGTTTGCTGTCACATGACCTTGGCTCAGATCTGTGTTTTTGTCTAATACCACGCGTTCAAGTCAAGCAATCCATCTTGGACTTCCACCTGCTCATTTCCCCAAAAGTTTCCTGGTTGTCACCAAGTTTTAACATTTACCATTCCACATTTTATGCCTAAACAATCCTGTTTGTGTACATCTAATTTCACCAAACAAAGTTTTCCTCTCATTCTCAAGGGGCTGCCTCATTAGCTGTTCTGTCATTCCATGGTACTATTTATATTTTTCTCAAAAATAATACGCTGCCATTAAATCTCTCTCAGGCTGACTTTACTGTCCATGTTTCACATGCACATAACAGTTCACAGAGCATGTTTTCCGGCGACTACCACCACCACAGAGAGTATCTGAGCAAATGAGGCACAGCAAAGCTGCGGGAGATACGGAAGCTGCTGCTCATGAGTGCCAGCCATCTAGTTTAGCCCCAATCCACATGAGCGGCATGGGGGATACTCTCAGCAGTGGCGGTAGTCACCAAAAAAACGCAAATAAGGTCGGCGGAAGTGCCGCCATAATATGTGCCCGTTTTTCGGAGGATAGCCTGACTTTCTTAGACACTTGTATGCTTGACATGGATATTACACTATGGTATTCTGTATTTGCTGACTGTAAACCCAACAGCACTGACTTCAGCAGATCTGAAACAGTCGCCTGTCAACCCAACAGCACTGACTTCAGCAGATCTGAAACAGTCGCCTGTCAACCCAACAGCACTAATGACAGCAGATCTGAAACAGTCGCCTGTCAACCCAACAGCACTGACTTCAGCAGATCTGAAACAGTCGCCTGTCAACCCAACAGCACCAATGACAGCAGATCTGAACCAGCTGCCATTTTACAATATGCCTGTTAAGGGACAAACAACTGTTCCCATTTTGACCGCAGTGACAAACACCGATGGAAAACGTAAATGTGCATATGCAGTATGTGTATGTGGTTCATTAGCTAGCTGTGTGCTATTTTTTCAGTGTAGAAATCTTGCTTGATGCTGCCTGTGAGTGCAAAATACACCCGCCAGCTGCAAGGTTCCTGCTGAAATCCATTTTTTTGCTAGCGAAAAACAACAGGCAGCTCACTGAGGTTTATGGGTCAGATGTTACGACTGATAGTATGGTTAGGAAATGGTGTTGAATGTTAAAAGAAGGAGGAACAAATATGCATAATGAAGATCGTAGCAGTCAGCCGAGTGTGGTGACAGACGATTGAGTCAAAGAAGTGAACCAAAAAAACAAGAACATTTTTTAAAGTTTCCCATTCACTAATTTATGACATTGCAACAAGAATCCTTGGATAAAAAAAAAAAGTGTGTGCCACACAAAACAAAAGACATGGGCTGCTGTCCTCTGGAATTGTGCTTTTGCAAGATATTGCTCAAAAACACATTACAAATGTGTACTGTTCAGCTGTTGCAAAAAATTTCACTGGGAAATTGCTGACCACCTGCTGTACAGCCTTGATCTGGCGCAAGTGCTTACCATCTTTTTTCATGCAACTAAATAAATGGCTGGCATCCTAGCGGATTGAAACTGATGAACTGCAGACAGGCATTAATGAATGGTTGAAGACACTGATGGCAGACCACTGACTGCAGACTTCTGTGATATTGGAATAATAAACCAGGTGCCAAAAAAGGTGTTGAAGTCAATGGTGATTATGTTGAGAAATAATGTCACTGTGTGGTTCACTTATGGCTGCAATAAATCATTTTTATATAATATTGTTTTTTTTTTAAATTATTATTTTTTTTTAACCAGGATTTACTTGAAAAATGTGGATCATATTCCTGGCTTCACTATTAAGTTAACCAGAGCAACATTTCACTCCTCCTCCAAGCAGGATCAGGTCACTAGAGAGGACTGGCTTCCCACCACCAGAAAATAGTTTATCAAATACAAAAGAAGACACCTGAAAAAATGACAAGTTTGTCAAAGAAATCTGTGTACTCTGTCCTTCATATGCTACAGTCAAGAAACATGTCCAGGTATCAGAGCCTGCTCTCTACGGGAAGCCAAGGGACAGGGGATCCATGAAATTCTCTAACACATGCACAGATCTGCTGCTGTTAGTCACAGAAACAACAGAGAGACACAAGATGTACTCACTGAGGTCCAGGCTTGGGTTTGGCATCCTTCTTGAAAGAATTGAGGATTCTGTTGATGTCCTCAACCGTGAGATCTTCCTGTCAATGTGACATCACATCAGATCATGTCAGGTTTTCAACACACCATCATAATACAACAGTTACAGCACTGTTTTACTTAACGATCATCAAGTGAATAAGTCAGGGACACAAGCCAAACTGGTACATTCTGCAGGCTATCGCTGCTCATGTTTGATAAACTTTGTGTCTCTATTGATTGACTTCTATTTCTTCTTCACTGGCTGTAAACTCTGGTGAAAAGTTCTGGTTGTCTGTGTTAATTGACTTCTATTTCTTCTTCACTGGCTGTAAACTCTGGTGAAAAGTTCTGGTTGTCTGCCCACTTGTGGACTTAGGTCTTGTTCTAGAACTTGAGTTTGGGCTCATAGCAGCTTTTCAGATCTGGCTTATTTGTATGTAGAGTGGTGATTCCTCACCTCTGGGAAAGATGCACTTTGACCCATTACTAATGAGTCACCTTCTATAACATGTTTGTTCATGGTAGTGGGTCTATTCTTCTTGTTTTCCCCACAATGGGGAACTGTACATAGATATCATAGGTGAAGTGTAACATACTGGTGTTTAACTTCCACTCACTGTCGTCAGCTTCCATATTTATCATAAAACAAGAAAAAAAAGTTCCCCCAGCTTATTGACTACCTGACTGCCAATCATCCTCATTACCTGACTACCACACAGCCTGACTACCTGAATGCCACACAGCCTGACTACCTGACTGCCACACAGCCTGACTACCTGAATGCCACACAGCCTGTCACCACTTGACTGCCACACAGCCTGACTGCCACACAGCCTGACTACCTGACTGCCACACAGCCTCATTAGTTGACTGCTACACAGCCTGACTACCTGACTGCCACACAGCCTCATTAGTTGACTGCTACACAGCCTGACTGACTGTCACACAGCCTCATTAGTTGACTGCCACACAGCCTGACCACCACACAGCCTGACCACCTGACTGCCACACAGCCTGACCACCTGACTGCCACACAGCCTGACCACCTGACTGCCACATAACCTCATTACCTGACTATCACATAACCTCACTACCTGACTACCACACAGCCTGACTACCTGACTGTCACAAAACCTCACTATCTGACTGCCACACAGCCTGACTACCACACAGCCTGATCATCTGACTGCCACATAACCTGACTGCCAAACAGCCTGACTACCTGACTGCCACACAGCCTGACTGCAACATAAATTGACTACCTGACGTAACTGCTATACAGCACCTCACAAGCTGACTGACTCACATAATAATCATCATTGATTTGAACCATCGGGGCATTGACACAAGCTCCGAGACACTCCACTTCTGCCAGAGTGAACTTCTTGTCCGGGGTCGTCTCACCAACATCAATACCTGAAGATGCCATCTGCATATGTTTAAAATATTTACCAAACAAAAAAAAAATTGTAAAATTTACGAGTTTAAAAAAAATGTGTTTTGAAATGTGGTCTTTGATCATGACATATCTACAGGCAATCATATGTTCAATGTTCTAGTTGTAAAATTAGACAATCACTTGCCCTGAAACCACAGACTAAGGATCACTGAAAAATTACCCATGGCTTCATAGGAGTCGTGACAGAGCTGAATGTCATGGACACCCACTTTAACTGAGGTGATAATCTCACCCCCCCCCCCCCCCCCCCCCAACCATAATACAACTTCCTGTGTACTTGAGTTGCTAGGAAAAGAGTTATGAAGCGGCACATTTACTAAACATTTAAACAAGAAATAAAATAGGAAAAAAAAAGGGGGGGGGGAAGGGGAAGACAGGAAATGAGAGAGTAAAAGGAAAGATAGAGAGAAAGAGAAGAATATGAAGATCAGAAGGGAGGGTTAGAGACAATGCAGGAAAGGAAGGAGCAATAGGTAGAAGAGTGAAAGAGGGAGGGAAGAGACTGTAAAAACAGACTGTAAAGATAAAACCAGGCCAAAAAAAGAACTGGGAAATCCAGCTGACGTCACTTTGCTTAGCCCCAATGTCGTCTCTAATTAATAGAGAAGGCTGTGCTTAGCACCCACCACACTAGAAACAAAGGCACACGCCAGACAGCTGTTGCTCCTTCCCGCCCCATGCCACGCCGCGCTGTCTGCATGTATTCATGGGCTGCAACACAGCCCGCCCTTCCCCTGGCCTTTAACAAGCCATTTTGGCTGAAAATAGCTGATAATCAGGTGCCTTAATACCTGAAACGACCTTAAACGAAAGTAGCCAAAAGGCCCCCAAAAATAGCCTAACTGCTGAAAATCACAGGACTTTTGACGATCTCATTGCGGCTGTCAAAATTCACGGTTTCTCAAGGTCAAAATGTCTTTTTCACTGTCAAAATCACTGTTCCTTGTTGAAGAAAAAAATTCAGCGTAAATTCAAGATTTCCCGGTCCACTACGAACCCTGGTAATAAAACTTTGCAACAAAATGCAGTTAAACCAGATTCAGTCATGTCTGATCGTACAGGGACAACTGACAGTCACAGCCCTGTGAGTCATTCTGTCAACAAACTTATGGCAGCAAAAATGAAACTTCCTGATGACTATGCAAAAAATATGGACGGACAGAAAAACAAATGGCACAGTGCTCCCTCCTGGCAACAGTCAAAGGTGTAAGTTACATGAACTAGATGTAGACAAACAGGCAGTGTAGTGATGCTGACTTGACAGTTGTGGAGAACAGGAGAGAGAGAGATCAGTTCATGTCAACACCTCCCTTGACATGAATTATTCTAGCATTTAGTCTGTGGAGATCAGTCTGATAAATGAAACAGACAAAATCAGCCGATCACGATCTGCAAAATATTTGCACCTGCACCGATCCCATAATTTCTACAGTCAACAATTATCCGGTACCCTGATCATATAGAGATTACTTACCCAGATTATCTTTGATGGCTTCCAGAATCACATCTGAACCCACACCTCCTAGCATACAAGGTGTGGTTGTACAGATCTGAACAAAGTACTTTCCAACAGGCTCTCTGAGGAAACAATATAGATGGCCTAGTTAGACTAACCCTAAAGCCATTCTAGGGTTCAAAAGAAAAACAAATTCTAACTGTCATGTCATTGTGGCTTCAGGAGGAAAACAAACAAGAGTAATACTAACCAAGTGTGGCCATCGTAAGAGCTGGCTGAGCACGGATGAAGGAGGACTAACTTCCACATCCCATCTAAACTTTAGTTGCAACAATTCAAACAATTAGGAACAAGGACAGGACAACAATTCAAACAATTAGGAACGAGGACAGGACAACAATTCAACCAATCAGGAACCAGTCTGAAAAACTGGACAGGAAACAAATTCAGCCATTTAGGATACAAGTAGAGTTCTACAAGTTTGGTATGATGCAGAGAATGCAGCAAGGAATCTAGGCAGTTGACACAAAGAAAATTCACAACTGGCATATGAAATGTTTACTCCCCCTAAGGCCAGACAAGTGGAACACCTTGTACAGGAGGAAAAGAAGAGCTTGTGAAAACATGTAAATTCCACTACAATGCATTGGGCCAAAGGGTGAAAGCTCATTCACTGCTGAATCAATAACAACAAAAACAAATGAATGGATGATTAAAAAGAAATGTCATTAACTAGATCAGAACTGGGAAAGAAAGCAAAGTGGTAGAGGAAATGATCTACTGTGAGATTAGCATTTTGGGTCAACCTGCTATATGCTGATGATGTTCTGAATTCTGACAATGAAAGGCGTTCACAAACAGGACTTAGTTTAAACAGTGAAAAAACAGAAATGACAGTTTAAACAGTGAAAAAACAGAAATGACGGTAATTGGACTGGTTGTGTTACTACTAGAGGAGACAACCACATTGTAGACACTAAAGTAAGCCATGTGTCGGTCTGACAACAAGATGCTACTGTACCTGTTGAACATGGTATAAAATGTAGCCACTTCATAGACCCTCATTCTTGGCATCTTTAGTATTTCTGCCACCTTGTGCATGGCAGATATTGGCAGCCAATCTGGCAAGAAAAATACAAACATGTCAGAAAATGATGGTAGGTAAAAACAATGAAACCAAGGGTATGACAGTTATTGTCATACCGCTGTCTATTCCACTAGCTATCCTCAAAGACTCCCATCCATCGTTCAGTTACCTCACCCACTTAAACTGTAAACAGGGTGTAAACTCCAGCAGAAAGCCATGGCTGTTCATCCTCTTCTAAACTATTGTCTTGTTCCAGAGCCTGAGTTTTGCATGCACATCCATTTGTATCTGTGTGTGCAGACTTTGACAACACACTTGCTGGGGGAGCAGTGGCTCTGTTATATTTTGCCCCTACAATGGGGCCAGGTAACCTCTTTCCTTCTCCTGTGGGTACCAAGTGCAGCTTCTATTGATTTACCCAAATATGTTGTTTTCTTGGATATCCAGGACTTTGTTAACTCAAATACTTCTCCAGCTTCTCATGTGAAGGATTCAAACTCACACTCATAAAAACCAGAACCTAGGGGCTCTGGTCCCTTGAGGCCACCACTTCCCAAATTATGGGGGGGGGGGGGGGGGGGGGGGGGGGGGGGGGGGGGGGCTGAGCCCTCCCAATAACTAGCTTAAGCTATTTGTTGGAGGCGCTTTTTCTAAACAGCACTGCAGCGACTTCATGTGAATCAGCTCACTTTAATTATCCAATCAAAAATGTGTCCTATCTCAGGAAAACAGTTATCAGTGCTTCACACATATTACCAGAGAAATAACTGTTTTTCTTACCATGGAGGCAACAAGGGTTAAGGTAGAAAAACTGTGTGGGTTGTTGGGGCTGGGAGGGTTGTTCACCTAGCCAAATTTGAAAGGGGTGGTTGAGCTCCCCGCCGGCGAGTAATTTTGTTACAAGAGTAAGAGACTCCTGTATCCATGCACAGAATGTTCTTTAAAAGTAATTACTTATACATTTCAAACTGTTTCACTTTCTGTAAAAATGACTGCTGATGTTTCAAACTGTTTCACTTTTTGTAAAGATGACTGCTGATGTTTCACTGTGTTGAAGTATATGATTATATTTACTAGCCATTCAGCACATTATAATTATTGTTGTTGTTGTTATGCTGAATGGCTTGTAAATATAATCAGACACTTGAAACAATATGAAATGTATGAACACATACTTTAAAAGATAATTTCTGCCAACAATTAATATGAGGGAGAAAGGGGTTTTAGCCGTGGCAGTAAGCCTACTCACACTCATCACAAAAGTATCTATCCATGATGAATCTGCAACACACAAGACACTGTCCGCATGTCGCCAATGTTCACAGATAGACATAACAATACAATGCACACACTAACTACTCACTGTCATTCTGCCGCTGGGCTAGATCCAACAGTGGTATACAGGCAGCAGCCTCATGACCTTTTGGGTAGTTGTTAATGATGACTTCGCATCGCTGAGAACGGAAACACAAACAGAAACGAATTAAATAAATAACAAACACTAACTATCAGGAAACCTAAGAACTCATATTAGAGCTGTAATGCAATGGACTAGTATGGTGTATAAATATACCTCGTAGTTAAGAAAGGGAAAAGAAGAATTCAATGATGTTGGATTTCTGATTTTATACAGCTGTAACATAATGGACAAGTACCAACTTGATCACTCCTCTTTTACCTTGAGGTGTAGAGGTTTGCCAGAGAGATCACCAGACGTCTCTCAGCAGTTTTCTTTCTGGCTTTGTTCAATTCCAGTCCTCTGTCAGTTAGGGACTATTGGATGTTGTCTTCCCAACGCACCCTGGGTCGCCCTGGAGGTCTGGTTCCCTGGTTCTTAGCCTCCTATGCCTGCCATTGTGGTAGATTTTCTCCAATTCTGCATATATGCCCAAACCATCATTACTGTGTCTGATCCACTCGGGTTTGTAAGGACTGGGTATCAAAATCTTGATGTCTGATTCGTATTTTGTCCCTCCTTGTCACTTGGACCACCTTTCTCAGATATCTCATTTCTGAGGCCTGAAGCTGGCTTCTGTGAGCTGTTGTCATTGCCCATGACTCACACTCATAGGTCAGGACTAGTACATAGGCAGAAAGGGAAACAGCCATTTTCGTCCTCTAGCTAATTTCTCTTTTGCTAAGAAATCCTCGGTTTATGGTCTGGAAGAGTCTCCTAGCAGCTGCTTTTTGTGTAGCCAGCTCAATCTTAATGCCTCTATTTCAGTCTAACACAACTCCAAGGTATTTGAACTGGTTGACCTGCTCCAGTGCATACTGTCCCATACTGTTTTAATCACTGGACTAGTAAGGTGCATTAATTAACCTCATAGTTAAGAAAGGGAAAAGAAGAATACATTGATGTAGGTTACCTGATATGATACAGCTGTAACACACCAGACTTGTACCTAGAATACTCAAGTCCTCCCAATGTATAGCTTTACAGCATTACTCAACAACCTGTACCATATGTTTGTCAACAAATAAGTTTAATTTCTGTAAATATAATATTTCATGTACTGGTAAATGAGAAACAATAAATATCTGAAAAAAAAAAATGAAAAAAAAATAAACGTGGCATACCTTTAGATTCTCTGGTGTAAACTCAAAGGGGACATTACTGTTGTTGATTGGGGTGTCTCGGTGCTGGGGAAACAGAAACACAGAAGCAGCATTAGATAAGGAAAGCGCTGCACACTTCAGTTTACGGCTCTGTTTTCAGTTACAAGCAGGAGCAAACAGCTAGTTATCACCAACATCCTGTGCCATGCTAACATGCATTCACTACATCATAAAATCCTCAGTCTTGGGTTACGCCATATTCTTGGCCCACTTATGTTACATGACCAAGTCATTCAAGTATCCATCTTTGTCTGACCTTTCCCTTTAAAGTTTGTCTAAAGACAACTTGTCCTTGGAGGGAAAGACTTCTGACCCATAAGGAATGTGAAAGATGGCTACTTCAGCAGGCAGATAAAAGAAACCACGGACAGGAACGCCTGACTGTCTGCCCGAGGGTGTATCCCAGGATGCATCCAAACATGGGTAGGCACAACTAACTGAGGCTAATAGACAGTTTTGTTGGTGCTACTGTATTCTGACCCCCAGTTTCCCCATAAACCATACATTAAGTTGCAATGGTAAATCTATGTGGTGTTTAAGAATTCTTAGACCATACGGAATATGCTCCACATATACATACTCTCACATTTTAAATGAACAACTGAGTCTTTACAAGCGTATGTTCTTATGAATATGCACTAAACTATCATCATTTAGCAGGTTTTTCCCAAATGTTAATCCCATCATTGCCTAAACTAGAATCCTCAGTTCCTCACTTATTTCTATGCCTCATGCATTTTCATGTTCAAAGTGTCACTAAGATCCTGTATCTAACTAAGGCAAGCCTGAGGTTATGCCTCTGGTTCCAGTATTTGTCTTGTGTTTTCAAGGCATCGCTGAAAACCACTGAAGTCACATGACTGTCCCATGCGTCTCCAAGGCATCGCTGAAAACCACTGAAGTCACATGACTGTCCCTTGTGCCTCTAAGGCATCACTGAAAAACCCACTGAAGTCACATGACTGTCTCATGTGTCTCTAAGGCATCACTGAAAAACCCACTGAAGTCACATGACTGTCTCATGTGTCTCTAAGGCATCACTGAAAAACCCACTGAAGTCACATGACTGTCTCATGTGTCTCTAAGGCATCACTGAAAAACCCACTGAAGTCACATGACTGTCTCATGTGTCTCTAAGGCATCACTGAAAAACCAACTGAAGTCACATGACTGTCTCATGTGTCTCTAAGGCATCACTGAAAAACCCACTGAAGTCACATGACTGTCCATCTGTCTCCAAGGCATCACTGAAAAACCCACTGAAGTCACATGACTGTCTCATGCGTCTCTAAGGCATCACTGAAAAACCCACCGAAGTCACATGACTGTCCCTTGTGTCTCTAAGGCATCACTGAAAAACCCACTGAAGTCACATGACTGTCCCAAGCGTCTCCAAGGCATCGCTGAAAACCACTGACGTCACATGACTGTCTCATGTGTCTCTAAGGCATCACTGAAAAACCCACTGAAGTCACATGACTGTCCCATGTGTCTCTAAGGCATCACTGAAAAACCCACTGAAGTCACATGCCTGTCCAATGTGTCTCTAAGGCATCACTGAAAAACCCACTGAAGTCACATGACTGTCCAATGTGTCTCTAAGGCATCACTGAAAAACCCACTGAAGTCACATGACTGTTCCATGTGTCTCTAAGGCATTACTAAAAAACCCACTGAAGTCACATGACTGTCCCATGTGTCTCTAAGACACCACTGAAAAACCCACTGAAGTCACATGAGTGTCCCAAAAGCTACAAGTGTTGGTGTAGCCACTCAGTGACAGGTCTTATCTCAACAATCTGTTTGTACATGATAATACACACACACAAAAAGAACTCACCACAAACAATTTATCACTTGATAATGCTGACTGTACATAGAATGTCCTCACTTGTCTCGTCTGTTGAACAAAACAAAGGATAATGAGCTAGGGTGGGTGGAAACCAATTATAACATTTATCATTACAAACTGCAAGTTCTGTTTAAATGTACATGTTTTGTGTTGTCAAAAACCGGCTTTCTCTTGGACCCAGAAACTGACAGCCATATTTGCAGGGCTGGGATTATTTCTGTGTGTATCTCGCCAGACGTGAATGCACAGATCCCAAACTTACAAGTTGTTCATGTTCAGTGGTAGCTCGGTATAACATATTTAATCTGTTCCTGATACTTGGATGTATACCAAACAAATTTTCCTATAAGAAATATAGACAGAATGATTAATCCATTTATTTTTAAAAATCCTATTGTTATTGGCATATACATTGATGGGGTTGTAAACAATAATTTAAATTATACCTTATACTAAAATACATAAACAGAAAAGCAATTACATGAAATAAATGAAAATTTAACCTCAACTGACCTAGGTAAGAAAGGGTCAAGTACTTCTTCTTCTTCTTCGCGTTCACCAGCTGTACACTCTGGCGGAAAGTTCTGGTTGCTCGTCCACTACTGAACTGCAGTCCTGCTCCAGAACCTGAGTGTTGCATGTGCATCAGTTTTACAGATCTCATTCTCTTGAACACAGACTGTTGATTCCTTGCCTCTCCGGCAGATGCACTCCGACTTCAAAGGAAGCTCCCCAATTAGGAGAGCCCCTGGATGTTTCGGAAATGTGAAATTGTTCAGACAGTGCTATTATGGCTTGTTTAGGTTTTGTTGGGCTGAGACATTCTGCAAAGTCATTCCATGGCTCTAAAAAGAGAGAATGATAAACAAAGACAGGATGCCCTGATGCAGTGTCCAAACTTATTTTCACTCACATAAGTTCTAGCATGCTGGTCGTATTCGAAACAAAGTTAGATTTGTTTCAGCAGGAGTATACCGGTGCTATGGGCAATGTTTACAAGACATAATTAATTACACATTTTTAGGTAAAGTTTTGTTTCCAGAATTGCTTGCTTATTAATACTCAAGAGCTTAAAAACTTGGATCATCATTATTTATTATTGTTGATCCCTGGATTTCATACTGTCAGTTTAAGTTAATCAATGAGAACTGTACAAGGCATACTGTTTTAACGTGAAAGGAGGAAAGGGTCCTAAATCTCAAAGGAATATTTCAACCTACGAAAGAGTTTTATTATTGAATAAATCGTCAATAATACCGCGGATTTTTTTTTAAAAGAAATAAATAAACATTGGGAAACACCCCGGTCACGACATTGATTTGATTGAAAGCTATTTCTTTAGGGGGTGCGGAGGGTCGACGCTACATTTTGGACACATCCTAAACATTCACTACAAATGAGCTGCTCTAAGGATAAAACCTAGAAGATATGGAGACACTCACAGCCGCAGACCAAAGCGCCCTGCTCGCCGACGACAACATCTTCACTTCTCCGGCCTTCTACTGCAGACGACCTTCAGCCACTTCCGCTGGGAGAACCCCGACCGGTGGTCTCCCCTCATTCTCTGCGGAGCTGTGGCTTCCTTAGTAGCGGGTAAACAACATGGCCGCCGGGCTGTTGATCATAGATAGACAGACACGGAAGCCTTTTCTAGAACTGGAGATATACATTCATTCATGTAGCAAGTCCTTTGCAGAACGTAGCTCTCATCACAGTCTGCCTGTAAGAAACTCGGTCTCTTGCCAGTTCTCCCGCCTCATGAACTTTCACACTCAAGGAGTCACTTATATCCTGTGCCCATATTGAATATGATATTCGTGTCGGTCGGCCCCTCCTTCCTGGTACACTGGTACCATGCCTTCTGCTATTATTTTTTTTCAATCCGTTGTGGCGTTTGATATGACCAACATATTTCAGCTTTCGAGAAAGGATGCTGTTTATTAGCCAATCTTCCTTGATGTTCAGATCTTTTAAGATGTCAATATTTCTCATCTTCTTTGTCCAAGAGAATCTTTCTACAGCATTTCAGCTCAAAAGCCTCTATTATCTTTCTTATGTAGCCACAGGGAACATGTATGCTCTCAAAATTCTAATTTTTATCTCCTTGCTGGTACTTAACCATAGACTTTTAAGGCTTTTTATTCTTTGCATTGCTATGGCCATCCTCCTTTTAACTTCTGTCGAACATCTCCATTGTTGTTTATTATAGAGCCTAGATATTCAAAGCCCGTGACATTTTCAATTTCTTCATCATTTATTGTTATTTTTGGGTGACAGCCAGTTTTATCTGTGGACATTATTTTCGTTTTATTTAAATTCAAAAACAGATTTTGATCTTCACTGTGCTTTTGGACGGTCAATATTAAATTTTCTATTCCCTTAACGCTGTACAAAAGGAGGACTGTGTCATCTGCGTAGCGGAGTTCCGGAATAGGGTTGCCACCAATTTTGAGCGGATCATAACTGTCACAAGTCTGGTCATTTTTGACATTTCTCATTATATTTTCTGCGTATATAACGAATAGGTATGGTAAGAGAATGCACACCTGGGAGATATACTACTCATGGAAATAGTTTCTGTAACTGAAGCATCGCATTAATCACAGGCTATTTGATTTAGTGACACAGCAGCAGTGATTATCAACATGTTTTTTTTTGGGGGGGGGGGGGGGGGGGGGCGGGGAGGGGGGGGCGTGTTTAGTTGCACTGCGAAACATCTTATAGGTGCTCAGTCTCACTAGTGACTAGTGCAGTTACTTCAAATTGAAATTTTCTTTTTACATCATTTATAATATACTATCAAGGCTATCCTCTGAATAATGGTCCTTAATTATCGAGACAGAAAATATACCCTAACAGGGCCTCAGTCACGTGTAAATTGCGCACTTCCAGGAACTATAATGCCACCGCCGAATTGTGAATTTCCGGCAACTACCACCACCGTGGAGCGTATCCCCACGTGAGCCGCGTGGATTGGGGCTAAACTAGATGGCTAGAACTCACGAGCAAATAAAATGAAGGAAGCTGCAGGAGATGCGGTAGCTGCTGCTCGTGAGTCCCAGCTATCTAGTTTAGCCCCAATCCATGCCACGTGAGTGGTGTGGGGTAAAATCTCGGTGGAAGTCACTGGAAGCGCGCAATTTAAAACAACGGAAGTGTGCAATTGACACGTGACTAAGGCCCTGTTAGGGTATATTTTCCGCCTCAATAATTTAGGACCATTATTTGGAGGATAGCCTACTATCAATATTTATCACTTTTATGGCAGCCTATGGCAAGGGTCTTTAATTTTAATTGTTATTTTTTTCTGTTTAATTTGAAAGCTCTTCCAGTGGCAGTAGATCTCACCTCTGTTATCTAACCTCTGTTATCTGACCTTTGTTATCTCACCTCTGTTATGATGTTGTGCTTTTCACTGGTAGCATCAAGATGACCACAAAAAAGCTGTTGTTACAACTAGCTTGAATCACTTTGGATAGCAAGCCAAACAGGTACATTTCAAATACCTGATTGGAAACATTAAAGGACTATCCTCTGAATAACGGTCCCAAATTATCAAGGCCAAAAATATACCCTAACAGGGCCTCAGTCACATGTAAATTGCAGACTTCCGGCTACTTAAATTGCAGACTTCCGGCAACTACCGCCACCGCCGATAGTATCTCCCACGCCGCTACGTGCGGCGTGGAGCAGGGCTAAACTAGATGGCTGGGACTCACGAGCAGCAACTACCGCATCTCCTGCAGCTTCCTTCACTTTATTTGCTCATGAGTCCCAGCCATCTAGTTTATCCCTGCTCCACGTCGCGCGTAGCGGTGTGGGAGATACTATCAGCGGTGGCAGTAGTCGCCGGAAGTCCGCAATTTACCTGTGACTAAGGCCCTGTTAGGGTATACTTTCGGCCTCAATAATTTGACCCTTATTCGGAGGATAGCCCATTGAAGTGGTCATATTTGGAGCAAGAACCTGTAATGGCAGCATAAATCTGGCATAGAGAGAATGCATGAATGTGAATTAAAAACTTTCTTCTTCTGCTGCTTATTTCCTAGTGGAACATGGGCTGTGAAGTGACATATGCCATTTGCTTCTTCCTTCACCACCGAGTTGTGCTCACTGCATGTCCTTGCCTTCTTCTGCTGCTGCTTATGCGGCAGTTGACACATGTGTTGTGTTTTACAGCTAGGTGACATTATCATCACCCTTTAGCCCTAAAATGGTCCAAAATCCTTAATTAGATGTCTTTTATGGCATGCTTGTTATGTTGCAGTGAGTCCATTCTGTTGATCTCAAGTATGGATCCCTAAAACCAAACAGGGACTGCAACTCTTATTGACCTATCTATAAGTATTTCCTATGTGTGTTTTTGTCTCCCTTCTTTCCTCAGCCTTAAGGGTTTCAGTGCAAAAACATTCTAGTTATACTTTTGTCAAGTTTTCTCTGTGCATGTTCAGTCTCCAGCTAGTCCTACCCCCCCCCCCCCCTTCCCTCTCAGTTCACTCAAACTTGTTGAGTTGTCTCCTCTTCATAATGTGTGTGAAGTGATGATTCTATGAGGTATTTGAAACCCTACTTTTTGTTTTGCAATAATTGCTATTAATTATTAGTAAAGGCTTCATTTTGTTTTATATTTCTGCTCCATCAACGCCGGCTGCTGATTTTGGCTGATGGATTACTTTACTTGCATTCAATTACAGACCGGTTGAAACTCATTCTCCTAACATTAAAAACAACACACACAAAAACACTTGTAACTTTGTTTGACTAACATTAATAATGAGCCGCTCTAGAAATATATTGACAAAGAAAGGAAACAATAAACCCAAGAGTTGTAAAAGTCGAGGAAATGCCTTTAGCTTGCATGTGATACTCAAGCCAACGGAGGAGAAATTTATGCTCAAGGATGTTTCCTACAGCATGACTGTAGCACAGCTTAAAGAGGATGTGGAATTTGCAACTGGGATACCCATCTCAATACAGAGATTGAGTTATCTTGATGAAGGTAAGTGACTGAAGAAATCCATTGTTATATATTATTTTACTGTTTACTGAAGTGACAGGATTTTTCCAGTCATTCTGGGGTCCCCCCATCCTCATAAAAACGGGTTGCAGATAATATTCATAATTCTCTGGGATTTGTCTCGCTAAGAAATACAACAAGGAATGGATCTAACCAACTGCCTCTTGTGTCCTGGTCTAGATTCTGCCAAGTCCTAACACCTCACAACAAGGAATGGATCTAATTAACTGCCTCTTGTGTCCTGGTCTAGATTCTACCAAGTCCTAACACCTCACAACAAGGAATGGATCTAATTAATTGTCTCTTGTGTCCTGGTCTAGATTCTGCCAAGTCCTAACACCTCACAACAAGGAATGGATCTAATTAACTGCCTTTTGTGTCCTGGTCTAGATTCTACCAAGTCCTAACACCTCACAACAAGGAATGGATCTAATTAATTGTCTCTTGTGTCCTGGTCTAGATTCTGCCAAGTCCTAACACCTCACAACAAGGAATGGATCTAATTAACTGCCTTTTGTGTCCTGGTCTAGATTCTGCCAAGTCCTAACACCTCACAACAAGGAATGGATCTAATTAATTGTCTCTTGTGTCCTGGTCTAGATTCTGCCAAGTCCTAACACCTCACAACAAGGAATGGATCTAATTAACTGCCTCTTGTGTCCTGGTCTAGATTCTGCCAAGTCCTAACACCTCACAACAAGGAATGGATCTAATTAACTGCCTCTTGTGTCCTGGTCTAGATTCGGCCAAGTCCTAACACCTCACAACAAGGAATGGATCTAATTAACTGCCTCTTGTGTCCTGATCTAGATTCTTCACACGTAACACCTCACATTAAACCCAGGGAATAAACATTGCCGTTTTTTAAATTAGTGATCAACATTTGCTTTGTATCTAATTCTCCACTGGTCGCAGATCCAAATTTGTTTCAACAGTTTAAAAAATCATGTATTTGGAAATAAACAATTGTGTTCCTATATGAGGTTGATTAACGTAGCACTTATAGAGATACATATGTGGAACAAACGTGATTGAATGAAAGAGACTGTAGCACTTATAGAGATACAAATGTGGAACAAACATGATTTAATGGAAGAGACTGTAGCACTCATAGAGATACATATGTGGAACACGAGTGATTTAATGGAAAAGTGTAGCACTTATAGAGATACATATGTGGAACAAACGTGATTTAATGGAAGAGACTGTAACACTTAAAAAGATACATATGTGGAACACAAGTGATTTTTAACCAAACCACAAGCTAATAATCAAACCAGATTTGCCCCGTGTGGGTTATAAATGGGGATGGGGGACCCATTCAGCCCTTAACAAGCATGTCATAAAATGTGACTAGTTGAGGGAGTTTCGTTCAAAGCTGGAGTACATCTGCCGGAGTACAAAGGAATCTACAGTCTGCATACAAATAATCAAGGTCTGTAAAATGGATGTTCATGGGTAACTGATGTTCTGGAACAAGAATAAAGTACAGAACTGGATAAACAACCAGAACTTTCTGCTAGAGTTTACAGCTAGAACTGGATTAACAACCAGAACTTTCTGCTAGAGTTTACAGACAGAAATGATGAACAACCAGAACTTTCTGCAAGAGTTTACAGCTAGAAGTGGATGAACAACCAGAACTTTCTGCTAGAGTTTACAGCTAGAACTGGATTAACAACCAGAACTTTCTGCTAGAGTTTACAGACAGAAATGATGAACAACCAGAACTTTCTGCTAGAGTTTACAGACAGAAATGATGAACAACCAGAACTTTCTGCTAGAGTTTACAGCTGGTGAGCACTCATAACAAGAAGAAACTGAATCTTATCTTCAGCTGATCACCTGATTTCTAAATTGAGAATGGAAAATTCATTCATTATATTTTGTTATTACTTATGAACATTTGACTTATTTCTGTTAAACTCACATTCATAGTAACATATAACTCTACATAAACATTTGACTTATTTTATTGAAACTCACATTCATGATAACATATAACTTTACATAAACATTTGACTTATTTTATTGAAACTCACATTCATGATAACATATAACTCTACATAAACATTTGACTTATTTTTGTTAAACTTACATTCATGATAACATATAACTCTACATAAACATTTGACTTATTTTATTGAAACTCACATTCATGATAACATGTTACTCTACATAAACATTTGACACAGACATATTGGGCTTCAATGTAATCTTTCAGGAGAGCTGCAAGACAATACGGATTTGAAGACTAATGACTTTGTGCCAGAAGGCACTGTACGACTGAAAGTCTGGCACATGTATCAAGAACTTGTTGAAGCTGTGACATCAAATGACATTGACTGGGTTAGTAATTTTCTAGTAGTATTTTGTACACTTTGTCTCGTTCATGTAGTCGGTGTTGGTTTGTCAGTCCCTAATTTGGTCCAAGTTTTAAAGCATATTTATAATTTTCTGAAATTCGATCCCTTTTGTGAAATGTTCTAATGTTGCTTGCATTGCCAGGTTTTCAGATTAGGAGTGACCAGCTCCTCAGACTACCACACTCCTGCCAGTGACTACATGAGCAAGAAGCTGCGCAAAGAATGGCTTGAGGACAGAGCATTGATCGCCCTGTGTCTGGCAGCTCACAGAGGTCATGAGGATCTGGTTGTCAGCTTGATTGAGTATGGTGAGTGCCCAGTTTTTGTTGACCACAACATTTCAACAGGATCTGATTGCAGTAATTCTGAGAGTGGTGTTGTGCTGGCACTGCCAGTCATCTTTAGTTTACAGTGAGTATATCTTCTTCTTCTTCTTCACGTTCACTGGCTGTAAACTCCAGTGGAAAAGTTCTGGTTGTTCATCCTCTTCTTCACTTTGGACTTGTTCCATAACTTTGAGTTGTGTTTTGTGCACATTCCTGGCCTCTCAAAACAGGTGGACTCCAGCTTAGAAGGAAACTCTTCCAAATTAGTCAACTTTTACTACATGCTTGTTTGAGGGGCAGTCAGTCAACTTTTACTACATGCTTGCTTGAGGGGCAGTCAGTCAACTTTTACTACATGCATGTTTGAGGGGCAGTCAGTCAACTTTTACTACATGCTTGCTTGAGGGGCAGTCAGTCAACTTTTACTACATGCTTGCTTGAGGGGCAGTCAGTCAACTTTTACTACATGCTTGCTTGAGGGGCAGTCAGTCAACTTTTACTACATGCATGTTTGAGGGGCAGTCAGTCAACTTTTACTACATGCTTGCTTGAGGGGCAGTCAGTCAACTTTTACTACATGCTTGCTTGAGGGGCAGTCAGTCAACTTTTACTACATGCTTGCTTGAGGGGCAGTCAGTCAACTTTTACCACATGCTTGCTTGAGGGGCAGTCAGTCAACTTTTACTACATGCTTGCTTGAGGGGCAGTCAGTCAACTTTTACTACATGCTTGCTTGAGGGGCAGTCAGTCAACTTTTACTACATGCTTGCTTGAGGGGCAGTCAGTCAACTTTTACTACATGCTTGCTTGAGGGGCAGTCAGTCAACATTAACTACATGCTTGCTTGAGGGGCAGTCAGTCAACTTTTACTACATGCTTGCTTGAGGGGCAGTCAGTCAACTTTTACCACATGCTTGCTTGAGGCCCCCCCCCCAGTTATAGTTTATAGTATGTATGAATATTTACAGTCATTTATAGTTTATAGTATGTATGAATATTTACAGTCATTTATAGTTTATAGTATGTATGAATATTTACAGTCATTTATAGTTTATAGTATGTATGAATATTTACAGTTATTACTGTATTACTGTATGTTTACTAAGAATTACTGTTCTTAGCAATCAAAAAAAAAATGTCGAGGACGAGATATCTCGTCCTTAGCAGTGAGGGCACAGAAAATGGCAGCCGAGTTATCTCGTCCATAGCAGCGAAAGGGTTAAATATATGTTTACAGTCAACTTTAATTATATTTTGTAAATATTTTCAGTCATTTTAAGTTTATAGTGTATGAATATTTACAGTTATGTTTAGTTTGTGTGTATGTGTGTGTGTATTTTATATATATATATATGTTTACAGTCAACTTTACTTATATTTTGTATATATTTACATTTATATTTGGTTGAAAGTGTGTAAATATGGTTGTGAATGGGAAATGAAAAGTGAATGATAGAATTACCAATGTTGAGCTTTCGAAGAGAACTAGACAAATTAAGAAAGGTGAAGAAAAAATGCTGGCATTGAGTAGGACACATGAGAAGGAAACCTGAAGATAGTTTAACTAGAATGTCATTACACTGGAATCCACAGAGGCCTAGAAATAAATTGGACCAAAAAACACACGGAGAACAAACTTTATTTTCAAAGGGTCACAAATTGAGTATGCAGGCCCGTCTTACATTGCCCACTTCCAAACACCCGTCTTTCACACAGCAGTTGTATCTTACATTGCACCCTTCCAAATACCCGTCTTTCACACAGCAGTTGTATTGTTGTTGTTGTTATCGATCCAGCGGCGCATGAGCTTTCGCCCTTTGGCCCAATGCCATGTAGTGGAATTTGCATGTTACATGGCATTGTGGTGCTGGGGTGTCTGTGGATTACCTACCTCCCCGGGCAGCAGCTAGAAATGCCCTGTACCAGTTCTAAAGGAAATATGGGTTGTGTTTCTGCCTTTCCCTTTAACACGTAGCTAAGGTGGGGCTCACAGTGTGCTCATTCCCCGCCACCAGATTGCCTGCAGGTTTCGCTGAGCTCTTCATGTCTCTAAGCATGGCCTAAGCATGAGTAGTTGGGGCAACTGGATCGTCACGTCCTGAGTCCCTGTGCCTTCACGATAGTTTCCGGTATTCAGGGGGGTTAGCATACTTGTTTCCATTCCTAAGACTGTTCAGCACACCTCTGGCTCCTTCCCTCCCACAGGGGGCAGTACGGTGTGGTGCACCGGGTTTATTATCGAGGTTTGCTCCTCTAGATCCATTGTGTTTTGCCTGGGGATTCGCACCCCCAGTTACCGGGACTACCTCGGGGAGGCTGTGACTCTTCGCCACGCACAATGGTCTTGAGGTAAGAGAGGTTTTGCTAGGTCAAGAGGCTGACACCACAATGGACGCTCCTTTCGTGAACAGATATTCACTAGACCTAGGGTGAAGTAAGGGGGGAAACCCACTACCCACAACACCAACACTTCTTACCCCCTGCCTCTCACTCGAGGCTCAGTCCCACAGCAGTTGTATCTTACATTGCACCCTTCCAAACATCCGCCGTCTTTCACACAGCAGTTGTATCTTACATTGCACCCTTCCAAACATCCGCCGTCTTTCACACAGCAGTTGTATCTTACATTGCACCCTTCCAAACATCCGCCGTCTTTCACACAGCAGTTGTATCTTACATTGCACCCTTCCAAATACCCGTCTTTCACACAGCAGTTGTATCTTACATTGCACCCTTCCAAATACCCGTCTTTCACACAGCAGTTGTATCTTACATTGCACCCTTCCAAACACCCGTCTTTCACACAGCAGTTGTATCTTACATTGCACCCTTCCAAACACCCGTCTTTCACACAGCAGTTGTATCTTACATTGCACCCTTCCAAACACCCGTCTTTCACACAGCAGTTGTATGTTATCAGTAACACCCGTCGTCTTTCACACAGCAGTTGTATGTCATCAGTAACACCCGTCTTTCACACAGCAGTTGTATGTTATCAGTAACACCCGTCTTTCACACAGCAGTTGTATGTTATCAGCAACACCCGTCTTTCACACAGCAGTTGTATGTTATCAGTAAAGCATGTTATGTTCATATAAAAATATACAAGTTATGAATATCAAGAAAAAACACAATAGCATGGGCTGTCGAAATGCACGCGCGCACACACACACATCCGCCCACCCACTCACTTTCTTACTCACACATCCATGCATACATACATACATACATACATACATACATACATACATACATACATACATACATACATACATACATACATACATACATACATACAGACAGACAGACAGACAGACAGACAGACAGACAGACAGACAGACAGACATTTGCAGTCAGACATACACACATACAAACACGCACATGGACACACACACACAACCGCACAGTCACACATGAAGACTCACATGCAGACACATACACAAACATACACACAGATTCACACAGGCACACAGACCCACACTCAGAGACACACACAGAGATATTCACACATACTGACAGACACATGCACATGGACACACACACACAACCGCACAGTCACACATGAAGACTCACATGCAGACACATACACAAACATACACACAGATTCACACAGGCACACAGACCCACACTCAGAGACACACACAGAGATATACACACATACTGACAGACACACTCACAGACAGACATACACACACAGACACACACACCCAGGCATCCACACACACACACACACATATACATATATACATGCATACACATACAGACACACGCGAAGACATACACTGACAAGCACAGACAGATATACACACACATGCAGACACACACAGGGACTGACACACACAGACACACACACACACGCAGGCACACACAAACATTCACACCCATAGGCACACCTACACCCTGGCATGCATAAACAGACACACACACTCACAAACACACACATATAAACATAAGGCATAGATGCATACAGACATGTACATGCACACACAAACCACACATAGACACACATACAGACACACACATAGACACACTCATACAGATGCACACACAAACACATGCACACACAGACACACGCACATAGAAACACTCACACATGCATACATACATACAGACAGACAGACATATACATGCACATACAGACACACACACACAGACATTCATGGACACACATATACCAACACAAATACAATCACTCATACATATACAAAGACCTAAACATACAAAAACAACCATACATACATACATACGCACACATGCACGCACACACATACATACATGCATGCATTCATTAATACAAAGAGAAAGAGAGAGAGAGAAACACACACACTCACCCATACACACAAAAAAGGAAGCTAGAGTGAGGTTTAAAAGATAATTAAATTATTACACACACACATATACGTATATGTATGTTTGTTCTAGAATGTCCTGTTTTTAGCTTTAGCTGGAAGAATATTTCCAACAGAATCATGACATAGATAATTGTAGCATTTATCTACAGGTGCAGACGTCAATAAACAGACAGCGACTGGGAAAACTCCGCTACATTTTGCTTCTGCTGTTGGCAATTCAAAGATAGTCAACACATTGCTGCAACATGGTAGTACATCATCTTCTTCTTCTTCTTCATATTTACTGGCTGTAAACTCTCATGGAAAGTTCAGGTTGTCCTTCTACATATGGACTTTGATCTGGATCTTGAGTTTTGCTTGCACATTCACTTTACAGATCTGATTTATTTGTATGCAGACTGTTGGTTCCTTCTCTGTCAGGCAGATGCACGTCATGTCCATGGAAACACCGTAAATAGTTAGTTCTCTTCAGTGACATGTTTATTGGGAGAGCAGAGGGTGTGTTGTTTATTTCCCCCCAAAACATGACTCTAGAGCCCACAAGGGAAGTAGTTCTCATTGACATCAACGCGCTAGGCGGGCCACTGTTTTTGGAGCCGAGGCACATTTTTTTGCTTCTGCCGGACGGTGGCCGATGCATTTTTTGTTCCATTTGTAGACTGGATATAGTTTCGTCGCCCAGCTTCTGAGTTGAATGCTTGGTGTGACACTATGAGCTGCAGATTTCATTGGAATGTTTTTTCGACTGTGACCAACGTGGTGGTTTGAATTGTAGATTCAGAAAATGGTGCAATGCCTGTCATCGCAGTTTTGGTGGTGCCCGTATGTGATTATAATTGATCGCTTGGCAACTGCAGATCTGTTGGTGACTTCTGCTACCATCAATGATGAACTGCATTTCTGATGTCGGACTGTGTTAGCACTTCTGATGGCTACCATATGCTTTAATGTGAGTGTATGCTAGATATGCTGAGACAGCAATCTGTCAATCTTTCCACAAGGGACTGTGATAAACATTTTGGGTGTTTTTCGTTGGCACGGGAGCGGAGCAAAGATGGGGTGACCCGTTTGCTATGAAGCTGAAACTAGGACTACCAAACCATACCAGACCAGACTGTTGATACACTTCTGTGTCTACTATCTTTATGCTATAGTACTCACCGACATCAACTGTTGTTACACTTCTGTGTCTACTGTCTTTATGCTATAGTACTTACTGACATCAAACTGTTGATACACTTCTGTGTCTACTGTCTTGATGCTATAGTACTCACCGACATCAACTGTTGTTACACTTCTGTGTCTACTGTCTTAATGCTATAGTACTTACTGACATCAGACTGTTGATACACTTCTGTGTCTACTGTCTTTATGCTATAATACTTACTGACATCAGACCATTGATACACTTCTGTATCTACTGTCTTTTTGCTATAATACTTACTGACATCAAACTGTTAATATACTTCTGTATCTACTGTCTCCGTGCTATAGTACTGACTGACATCAAACTGTTGATAGACTTCTGTATCTACTGTCTCTGTGCTATAGTACTGACTGACATCAAACTGTTGATACACTTCTGTGTTTACTGTCTCTGTGCTATAATACTTACTGACATCAAACTGTTGATACACTTCTGTATCTACTGTCTCTGTGCTATAATACTGACTGACATCAAACTGTTGATAGACTTCTTGCATGTTTATAATTTTTTTTTTACTAGTGTAGACAGTATAGTATGTGTTGTCTATAGTTCGATTCTGTGACAGGAAGAACTGAAGAACCTTCCAAATACTTGCGTTCTGTTTTTCTTCTCTGTTGATTGTATTTATAAATGTATATTTTTGTGAATAAAATATCAGGTTTTTGTAAAATTGTCTTCTTCAGGAGCAGATATCAACGCAGAAGATCACAGTGGCAATACTGCCTTGTCTGTGTCTGAGAGATTCGGACATCAGATCTGTTCCAGAACTCTCTTCCAGTTTCAGTGGCAGCAGCGGGCCAAAAATCTCAAGCCATCCAAAAATGTAATTAAAAAAAACAAAAACAAACTCTATTGTGTACCACAATTAATCATACTTTTCTCATTAGCCAGATGTCAGTGTGTTTGTGCGTGTTTTTTTAAAAATTTTTTAATGGTTGCCAAATCCTTTTCTTAGTAGATGTTGTAACATTTTTATTGAGTTTACTAAAATATATGATGAATCTTTCTAGCTCAATGAAGTCACAGATGTCATGCAAATACCTTCCCCAGATACCATTACTTGCACACCAATATTTCGACTCCAACCTTCCTGTGTGGAAACGAGGTACGTCTGCTCAAATTTATGTCAGCAAAATTCTCAAGCCAGGAGAGTTTGAAGGGACATCACTGAGTGCTCCTCGGTCAGGAAAGCATCCTTCACTTGCCCGCAGGGAGCTTCGAGATGCCACTTTCTTCTTGGACAACTCCAGTGTCAGTGATGTAACACCTGGCCAGTCATCTCCTACAGGTAGGCATGCCTTGTTTCTTTCTTTGGTCCTGTTTCCCTGTTTCATACCCTTGGTCTTGTTTCCCTGTTTCATACCATTGGTCCTGTTTCCCTGTTTCATACCCTTGGTCTTGTTTTCCTGTTTCATACCCTTGGTCCTGTTTCCCTGTTTCATACCCTTGGTCCCGTTTCCCTGTTTCAAACCCTTGGTCCTGTTTCCCTGTTTTAAACCCTTGGTCTTGTTTTCCTGTTTCATACCCTTGGTCCTGTTTCTCTGTTTCACACCCTTGTTCATGTTTCCCTGTTTCATACCCTTGGTCTTGTTTCCCTGTTTCATACCCTTGGTCCTATTTCCCTATTTCATACCTTTGGTCTTGTTTCCCTGTTTCATACCCTCAGTCCTGTTTTCCTGTTTCATACCCTTGGTCCTGTTTCCCTGTTTCATACCCTTGGTCCTGTTTTCCTGTTTCATACCCTTGGTCCTGTTTCCCAGTTTCATACCCTTGGTCCTGTTTCCCTGTTTCAAACCCTTGGTCCTGTTTCCCTGTTTCATACCTTTAGTCTTGTTTCCCTGTTTCATACCCTTGGTCTTGTTTCCCTGTCTCATATTCTTGGTTTTGTTTCCCTGTTTCATACCTTTGGTCCTGTTTCCCTGTTTTATACCCTTGGTCTAGTTTCCCTGTTTTACACCCTTGTTCTAGTTTCCATGTTTTATACCTTTGGTCCTGTTTTCCTGTTTCATACCCTTGGTCCTGTTTCCACGTTGACCACTGACCTAGCGTCAATGATGTACAACCTGGTCAGTCATCTTCTACAGCAAGTTGTTTTTTCTCTTGGTCCTGTTTTTGTTTCCTGGTCCTGTTTTTTCCTCCTAGTTCTGTTTTTTTCTCCTGGACCTGTTTTTCCCCATCCTGTTCATTCTCCTAGCCCTGTTTTTTCTCCTGGTCCTGTTTTTCTGCGTTCTGTTCATTCTCCTAGCCCTGTTTTTTCTCCTGGTCCTGTTTTTCTGCATCCTGTTCATTCTCCTAGCCCTGTTTTTCTCCTGATCCTGTTTTTTCTCTCGGTCCTATTGTTTTTTTCTCTTGGTCTTGTTTTTTTTAGTCCTGTTTTTCTCCTTGGAGTAGAGTCTTGAGCCTGAATATTTAGGACCACTTGATGTGCTATCCTGCAGATTGTGTTAATTGGTGATGAACTGTATTTCTAGTGTTGGACTGTTTATGTTGGCACTTCTGTTGGTTGCCTTATGCATGTATATACATTTTTTTAGAAGGGACACTGATGGGCACTATGTGGTTTTCGTGTGCGCAGGGACAAAACAAATATGGGATTACCCATATTTTGTGTGTGGAGTTGGAACTGCTGTTACCACTACCATTGTGTCGGTGAGGATTGTATCTGTGCACCTGACAGACACAAATACATCCCTTTACTAAGGGTTCAAACCTGAGTCTGCAGAATAAAAGCCCAGCTTTCTTAACCACTTGGCCAGCCACCCCTCCCTGCAGGATAGTTTTGGGTATAAGGTGTTGCCGTATGTTAGTATAGACCAATCAACTCTCAAAGAGTGTGGAGGTCATTCAGTGAGTGATGAGGTCCCAACGTGAGTGATGAGTCACTCAGTGAGTAACAAGGTCAGTATTATTCTCAATGAGTATGGAGGCCAGTGTTTGGTCAGCCACCTTTACTCTCAGTGCATGTTGAGGTCGCTCAGTGAGTGATGTGGTCAGTATTAAGTAAGCCGCCTTTACTTTCAGAACATTTCCTGGTGTCCCCTGGGACATCAGCCTAGGAGCCAAGGCAGAGGATAATGCCTTAGTTTCTCTTTTGCCAGACTTTTACACTTAATGGAAAGCAAAGACATATTAGAAAGATGGAAAGAATACTGTAGAGAAATGTACGAGGATGTGACAAGTAATTCAAAAACAACTTGTGAAAGTTATGAAAAAGAACCAGAGCCTTTACTGGATGAGGTATGATCAGCAATACACAGCCTGAAGAAATTAAAGTCGCCAGGTTGTGATGAAATACCAGCAGAAATAATTAAAGCAGGAGGAGAGGCCAGCGTCCGAATCTATCATACACTGTGCTCGAAGATCTGGAACAGTGGCATTTGACCTAAAGCGTGGAAAAGAACAATCTATATCCCTCTCCCAAAGAAAGGAAATCTGAAACTATGCTTCAACTACCATACCATCGCATTAATAAGTCATGATAGCAAAATCCCCTTACGAATTATCATTAAGAGGATTGAAAGGAAATTACAATATGAGCTTTATAAAGCACAAACGAGTTTCAGACAGTGTAGAGGAACTAGGGATCACATCTTCAATATAAGAATAATTTTTGAAAAATGCAGAGAATACAATGTAGATCTTCATGCTTGTTTTAAAAATTATAGAAAGGCATTTGATTGTGTCCAACACCACAAACTGTGGACTATTATGAGAAGTATGGGGTTTCCAGCGCATTTAGAGCATTTAATTGAAAATCTTTATCATGAACAAGCAGCCATCAGAGCAGCTGGTGAAACATCGGATTGGTTCGAGGTGCAAAAGGGAGTAAGGCAGGGGTGCATTCTTTCACCATACCTATATAATATATAGGCAGAAAATATAATGAGAAATGTCGAAAGTGACCAGACTTGTGACAACTATGATCGCTCAAAATTGGTGTCAACCCTATTCTGGAACTTCGCTACGCTGACACAGTTCTCCTTTAAAAAAGCATAAAGGAAATAGAAAATTTAATATTGTCTGTCCAAAAGCATAGTGAAGATCAAAATCTGTTCTTGAAATTAAAGAAAACGAAAATAATGTCCACAGATAAAACTGGCTGTCACCCAAAAATAATAATAAATGATGAAGAAATTGAAAATGTCACAAACTTTGAATATCTAGGCTCTATAATAAACAGCAATGGAGACTGTTTGACAGAAATTAAAAGGCGGATGGCCATAGCAATGCAAAGATTAAACAACCTAAAAAGTCTATGGTTAAGCACCAACAAGGAGATACAAATTAGAATTTTGAGAGCATGCATGTTCCCTTTCAGTCCTTAAGAAAGAGAATAGGGGCTTTTGAGCTGAAATGCTATAGAAAGATTCTCAGAATATCTTGGACAAAGAAGAGGAGAAATACTGACATCTTGAAAGATCTGAACATTAAGGAAGATTGGCTAATAAACAGCATCCTTTCTCGGAAGCTGAAATATTTTGGTCATTTCAAGCGCCATGACAGATTAGAAAAAAATTATAGCAGAAGGCATGGTACCAGGAAGGAGGGGCAGGGGCCGACCGACACGAAGATGGGCACAGGATATAAGTGACTCCTTGAGTATGAAAGTACATGAGGTGGGAGAGCTGGCGAGAGACCGAGTTTCCTTCAGGCAGACTGTGATGAGAGTGACGTTCTGCAAAGGACCTGCTACATGATAGGTGGAGACTTCTACACACATTTCATATGGTGGTGGTGCTTTTGTTCCAGGTTGGGAGGATGGTCTTTACACCAGCCTTACTCCAGTAGAGACATGCAAGCTTTCTTCGGAGCTTAGCTGATAACCCTGGTTCATTACCTGTCTTCCATAGTCAAATATACTCACAGTGGTAAAGGATGAGTTGGGCAAACACAGTTCAGGGGACTGAGTCTCCCTTTACATAAGATCACAGTTTTGCACTTAAACAGCCAGGACCTCACTTGTCCTGATTGCTGGAACAGAGCCTGGACCTCACTTGTCCTGATTGCTGGAACACAGCATGGACCTCAGTTGTCCTGATTGCTGGAACAGACCATGGCACTCATTTGTTCTGATTGCTGGAACACAGCATGGCACTCACTTGTCCTGATTGCTGGAACAGAGAATGGCACTCAAATGTCCTGATTGCTGGAACAGAGCATGGCACTCACTTGTCCTGATTGCTGGAACACAGCATGGCACTCAAATGTCCTGATTGCTGGAACAGAGCATAGCACTCACTTGTCCTGATTGCTGGAACACAGCATGGCACTCACTTGTCCTGATTGCTGGAACAGAGAATGGCACTCAAATATCCTGATTGCTGGAACAGAGCATGGCACTCACTTGTCCTGATTGCTGGAACACAGCATGGCACTCACTTGTCCTGATTGCTGGAACACAGCATGGCACTCAATTGTCCTGATTGCTGGAACAGAGCCTGGCACTCATTTGTTCTGATTGCTGGAACACAGCATGGCACTCACTTGTCCTGATTGCTGGAACAGACCATGGCACTCAGTTGTCCTGATTGCTGGAACACAGCATGGCACTCAATTCTCCTGATTGCTGGAACAGAGAATGGCACTCAATTGTCCTGATTGCTGGAACACAGCATGGACCTCACTTGTCCTGATTGCTGGAACACAGCATGGCACTCACTTGTCCTGATTGCTGGAACACAGCATGGCACTCAATTGTCCTGATTGCTGGAACAGAGCATGGCACTCAATTGTCCTGATTGCTGTGATGTCACTCAATTGTCCTGATTGCTGGAACACAGAATGGCACTCAATTGTCCTGATTGCTGGAACAGAGCATGGCACTCAATTGTCCTGATTGCTGGAACAGAGAAGGGCACTCAATTGTCCTAAATTGCTGGAACAGAGCATAGCACTCAATTGTCCTGATTGCTGGAACACAGCATGGCACTCAATTGTCCTGATTGCTGGAACAGAGCATGGCACTCAATTGTCCTGATTGCTGTGATGTCACTCAATTGTCCTGATTGCTGGAACACAGAATGGCACTCAATTGTCCTGATTGCTGGAACAGAGCATGGCACTCAATTGTCCTGATTGCTGGAACAGAGAAGGGCACTCAATTGTCCTAAATTGCTGGAACAGAGCATAGCACTCAATTGTCCTGATTGCTGGAACAGAGAATGGCACTCAGTTGTCCTGATTGCTGTGATGTCACTCAATTGTCCTGATTGCTGGAACACAGAATGGCACTCAATTGTCCTGATTGCTGGAACAGAGAATGGCACTCAGTTGTCCTGATTGCTGGAACAGAGAATGGCACTCACTTGTCCTGATTGCTGGTACAGAGAATGGCACTCACTTGTCCTGATTGCTGGAAAAGAGCATGGCACTCAATTGTCCTGATGGCTGGAACAGAGAATGGCACTCACTTGTCCTGATTGCTGAACAGAGAATGCCACTAACTTATCCTGATTTCTGGAACACAGAATGGCACTCAATTGTCCTGATTGCTGGAACAGAGAATGGCACTCAGTTGTCCTGATTGCTGGAACAGAGAATGGCACTCAGTTGTCCTGATTGCTGGAACAGAGAATGGCACTCAGTTGTCCTGATTGCTGGAACAGAGAATGGCACTCAGTTGTCCTGATTTCTGGAACAGAGAATGGCACTCAGTTGTCCTGATTTCTGGAACAGAGAATGGCACTCAGTTGTCCTGATTGCTGGAACAGACCATGGCACTCAGTTGTCCTGATTGCTGGAACAGAGAATGGCACTAAATTGTCCTGGAAAAGGTTTTCGAAAGGTAGAGGTTACTAATCTGTATTAGAGAAGAGGCATGTTTAGAAGCTATGTACTAATTCTTGAACTGAACAATCTGACCTGACAGAATTTCTAATGAAAGGAAGTGTGACACTGTCATTGACTTAGTGTAGTCAATGAGTTAACACATAGACTGTCATGCTTGACAAATCTAATTTTTTTGCTTGATATTGGTACATTTATATGACAGATCATATTTCTGCTCAATGTTGATAGATCTTTAGGGTCAGTCATAATATCTGTGCTCTATGTTCTTTTGGTACATTTTACCCTTTTTATATGTATGCTATTGTTAGTACATTTGTAAGACAAATGGTGCTGCTGTGCATTGGTACTGACAGTTATATTGTTATATTGTTCTGTTTTGTTTGTGTTTAGATTCTGGATTATTGTCTTCAGCAGACGGGAAGAAACACTTGACCAAGTAAGTTTCCTCAGTTGGCATGTGGACAGATTTTTAAAGATTGATCACATTATTTCCATATGTTGTTGTTTGTCCATCGTGAGTGATGAAGACTACTATTCATCCAAAGTAGTAATGATCAACAATCAACGAGTTATTAAGCAGTGCCGACAATGGATGGAAGCCGCAGTAAGGTGGGATTAGCAGTACGATCCTTTCTGGTCTGCCTCCTTTACTCTGCCTTTGCAACCTCCGCTGTCTGGCAGGCTGATGCACCATGCGTGAGGGATGTACTGTCTTGTGCAGCAGCCTTCCATGTCGCTGTGTTGATGCCAAAAGAATTGAGAGCAGTCTTGAGAGTGTCCTTATAACGTCCTCCCTGGGACCTCTTCCTTTGCTGGAGCTCGCCATAAAATACTCTCCATATACACAATGTGTGAATAAATGAATGTGTTGAAGGAATTGTAAAAGAGGAAATATTTCTTTTTCTTCTTCATCGTTCATGGAAGTGACATGATTGTGTTGTGCCTGTTTATAGCATAGCTGTGAAATTCGCATCATGTGTCCAAAACTTCCAACATTTTTGGGGCCTTTGTTTTCCATGTTAATCTTCCTGGTTAATTTTATGGGGCACTGTAGAGGAAATGTTTATGAGAACACAAATAATATGGCAGTTGTCAAGAAAAAAAATGTTTTCAGTCATTTACAGAAGATTAATTTTTTTCTGGGGTTTGGACAGCATTAATTTTAAGCAGAATTATTTTACTGCAACATGACAAAGCTAAAACCTTCCTGAAGAAAAAGTATTGGCTGTATAGGGACAAATAATATATCAAATTAAAGAGAAATGAGTGCAGAATAAATGTAAACAATTTAAGTGTCAGTATTACAACAAAATATTATTAACATCACACTACATTCAAGGATGTTAGACAGATATGAAGATTATTTATACACACAATTGTGCGCTTTCCTACCTTTTTACTTGTTTAATAAAACTATTATACATTTCTAAGAATGCACATGCCTTCTCTGTTCAATTATATACCAGCTAGTCTTTATTTGAAACAATTAATTGAAATACTTAGGATATTATGATCATTTTTGTATGACATGTCAGATTTCACAACAACTGAAAACTGGGAAAACAGCTGATCGAAACAGATTATCCAATTGAAATATTTTATTAAATCTTCACTCTTACCTAAATTATCGGCAATAGGTTTAGCACCTGCATTATCAATCATAATGTCAAGACTAGTCACTATCTGGCTGAGATTCATCAACGACAGAGTAGTATACACAGTTCTAGACTTTTTCCCTTATCACTTGCTAAAGAAAATGTAAACAATTAATAAAGTGATGCAAAAGCTATGCTGAACATCGCAAACGAACAATCCTAGTTTTTCAAACATGTTCATACAAATTTGTTTTCCCTGCAAACCAAACAGAATTAGAGTGTCTCTATGATGCGCCACTTTGCTGGTCAATAGTCCGATCAGGATTTATTCAAACACCATTTAAGTGGCGATTAGTCCACAAAGAGTTAAGGTTCCTCCTTTTTTCCAGCTGTTGCTGAATCCAAATCTAACTCTTTTTCTCTCGCTCTTTGCATTTATAATGTACCTAGCTGGTTACAAATATTAAATAATAAAAACTGTATAATTTCTGTATAAAATGTCACCCAAATCTGGCCAAATTCACCCTAGTTGCCATTGTCTGCACCTCCTTTCACTTCATCTCCACAATATTCTCAATCTTCAATTCTCATCTCCACAATATTCAAAATCTTCAATTCTCATCTCCACAATATTCAAAATCTTCAATTCTCATCTCCACAATATTCAAAATCTTCAATTCTCATCTCCACAATATTCAAAATCTTCAATCCTCATCTCCACAATATTCAAAATCTTCAATTCTCATCTCCACAATATTCAAAATCTTCAATTCTCATCTCAGTGTTCCTTGTAATTAATTTTTTTTCTACTTAGTCAAAATGATTCAGATAAAATCAGAATTCAGTCTCAGTTTGATGACATCCCTGGACATTTGTTGCTTCCATTAATTTATTTTGACAGCCTAAAGAAACCCCTGACATACCAGGAATGGTTGGAGAAACAAAATGAAATGGCGAAACAAATGGCTCTTGAGAAAAAAAGGCAGACGATAGAACACATAAAACAGAATTCGGAGGAAGCAGACGTGTAAGTTGACTGTATGTTGTCAGTAGCTGGCTATAACCGCTCACAGGCAGTTTCAGTGTATTACTGAGAGGGATCTCTAGTTATTTCAGAATAAAGGAAACGGGAGGGGGGGGGGGGGGGGGGGGGGGGAGGGGGGGGGGGGGGGGGGGAATGTAGAAAGGTGTAGAGAAATGTGGGGTCTTTGTGGCCCCTACAGCTAAATCTTCAATCCGGTTTATTGGTCTGGAAGGAAGAGCTTGAGAAGAGAAGGATGACTATCACTATCTCCAAAACTAAAACCATGGTGATCTCAAGAGAGGACAAGAAACATCAAGAAACATCAGATCATGTTGGGACAGTTCAGATACCTTGGAGTTGTAAAATGGAGGCATTAAGACAAAGCTGGCTACTCAAAAAGCAGCTGCTGTTCTTTTGAGGCCATAAACAGAGGCTTTATTAGCAAAAGAGAAATTGGCCAAGTAACAAGAAGGGACAAAGTTCATAATCAGAAAATACATCGAGATCTTGAAACCCAGACCTTTCATACCTATGATGGTTTGGACATGTATGCAGAATGAGCGAAAATTGGTCACTATGGTAGGCATGGGAGGCTAAGAACCAGGGAACCAGACCTCCAGGGCCACCCAGGGTTTGCTGGAAAGACAACATCTGATGTCCCTTACTGACAGAGGACTAAAATAGAACAAGGCCGAATAGAAAACTGTTGATAGAGAAGTCTGGTGATCTCTCTGGCAAACCTCTACACCCCAGGGTAGAAGAGAAGTGACTAAATGAGTAAGTAAACTGTGGGGAATATTATTGTCATCATAGTGTTTCCCTTTTGTTCTTGTTCCTTATCAGGATTTTTCACACACCTTTTCTGTCTCTATTTTGTACAGTATTTTATTCTGTAGATTTTTCTGCAACTTTTGTAAAGTTTGGCAAATAAAGAGAGATGCTGTATTGTTGTCACTACACCAAAGTCACCTAAATGCTAAATCCTTTTTTTCTTTGAAAACAAAAATGGCATTTCTCTCTAAAGTTTCAAATGAAAACGGTGCAGTTGTGTGAAAAGTCATAGTTCATTTTGACAAATCTGGGGTCGGAATTAATAGTGGTTACATAACTTGAAGAGATTGCAAGAGTACAACTGGTAAGAAAGTACAAAGTTTATAACCCATGAGGTTTTTACAGTTTAGTAGCCAGTCCCTACCAACACATTATACCATGCAGGAAAATACAAGGAATTGTGGGGAGAACAAACTAACAATAAACATCCTTAAGACCCCATCAGCAGACTCAACAGAAAGCAAAATACAATAATTTTTTTGTTTACAAAAGGACACTGCAGGCTCAACGACGACATGCATAAAATAAAGATTGTACAGTCCCCACAAAATGCCTGTCAAACAGGACCACAGACACCTGATCACATTCTGCAGACCTGCCCACTCTGCATACAGCATCGAAAAGAAACCTGACCTCAAGAGCAAAGTATGCAAAGCAAGCTATGGGGAACCATGAAGGACCTGCTGCTGACATGGGAGTTCATAGAGCAACCCACCTGATGGTCTGATCTGAGCGCATGAAACCGAATGCAAAGAAGAAAAAGATACCATGCACGGTATAACATGAATAGATTAACTGCAAAAACGGTGTGTGCAACAACAGTACATCATCGTGTAGCAGGTCCTTTGCAGAAAACTGCTCTCATCTCAGCACACACGGTAAAGCCACTTGGTTCCCTGACAACTTCTCCACTTCATGAACTTTGATGCCCGGGTTGTCCTTAACGGAGACACAATTGTGGCAGATTTATGTCATTGACCATCAGGGGAAAGATGACCCTGATAATGATGCTTTTAGCCCCCTTTCAATTTCTTCACATTTAATTGGGAACATGATCTTCCTCATGTTTTGCAACAACAGTCTGGCTAGTCTCTGTTTGGATTCTTCATCTTCATTTGTTTTTGTTCTCTGTCACTCCTGGTGTGGGGTCCAGGTCGACTGGTTGGATGGTTGGTCCAGTGATAGTGAACTGGTTGGATGGTTGGTCCAGTGATTGTGAACTGGTTGGATGGTTGGTCCCATGATTGTGAATTGGTTGGATGGTTGGTCCAGTGATTGTGAATCCTCTAAACAAACTGATTGTTTTAACACATGAGAGAAGCATACGGTTTTCAGGTTATTTGAAAAAGGCTTGCTTATCTCACAACATGGGAGATGAAAATTCTTTCTCCTGACCCTGAACCAAAGTAACAACTCACAGGAACAGTTTCAGAATTGATCTATTCTGTTTTAAAATTCAGACAGCGGCGAAAGACCAGGGTATCTGGTAGATGGAGGAAAGGCAAGATGGACATGCAAGCAGACTGTTACTGGTACCACTAGAAATGCAGTTTTGTGTTAGCTGTTGAAGACGGAGATTCGTGTTCCTGGAGATGTCCTGGGTGTTGCTATGTCAGTTCTTAACTCAGTTCCACTCAGCACCACTCAGATGCACTCAGCTCCACTCAGATGCACACAGCTCCACTCAGATGCACTCAGTTCCACTCAGATGCACTCAGTTCCACTCAGCTCCACTCAGATGCACTCAGCTCCACTCAGATGCACTCAGCTCCACTCAGATGCACTCAGCTCCACTCAGCTCCACTCAGATGCACTCAACTCCACTCAGATGCACTCAGCTTCACTCAGATGCACTCAGCACCACTCAGATGCACTCAGCTCCACTCAGATACAGACACCAGCATCATGCAAGGCCGCCACTGGAAGTTCACATCTGTAGACATGCATATAAAGATTTAACTAGATCACGTTTGCACACAGAATGTCCAGACAGGAATTCTGCAAGATCAGGGCCTCTATCTCTTTTCATCCCAGAAAATATTCACAGCAAAATCCCAAGAGGCAAATCCCAAGGTCATTATTTCAATGCTATTTGTGTGAATATAAATACCAGATTTCTTGACCATGCTGAGAGCACACGTAGAAAACCTGACAACACCTCATACATTGTTGGTGTGTGCGGATAGCATATGTCTAACACACAGAGTGTATTGTTTAAGACACAAATGATTATGAGAAGCGAAGAATGGTAAATGTGTAACCAACCATGCTGGCATTGACTGGCTACTCAATGGTGAAGAATCTTCGGGTACAAACCACGTAAGGCAGACACCATAACTTTTCCACCAGTTCTTGCTCACCTGTTCTACTTTATAGATTAATTGCCTAAAAATTATTTTGTTAATGTTTAGGTCCCAAGAGGAAAATGGTGAATTTGGATCTGAAAAATGGCTAGAAAACACAGATCAAGGAGAAACGGAGAAGTCCGCACAAGACATGTTGCTGTCTGCACATCAGTCTGCTCTACCAGGTGACTGCAGTCTGCTTCCTGTACATCAAGATGGAGCTCTTCGCATGTATCTTCGAAGTTTAGGAAAGTCCTCATCAGGAGTCAGTTATGAGGAGTGGTTGAATGAGAAGGAGATGGAGATCAATAGACTATTCCTACAGAAGAATTCTAATATATCCGGATCTGTGTGAGATGTTAAGTTTAGGCATGACTGATCTGTATGTGAGATGTTCACTGTAGGCATGACTGATCTGTGTGTGAGATGTTCACTGTAGGCATGACTGATCTGTGTGTGAGATGTTCACTGTAGGCATGACTGATCTTTATGTGAGATGTTCACTGTAGGCATGACTGATCTTTATGTGAGATGTTCACTGTAGGCATGACTGATCTTTATGTGAGATGTTCACTGTAGGCATGACTGATCTTTATGTGAGATGTTCACTGTAGGCATGACTGATCTGTGTGTGAGATGTTCACTGTAGGCATGACTGATCTGTGTGTGAGATGTTCACTGTAGGCATGACTGATCTGTGTGTGAGATGTTCACTGTAGGCATGACTGATCTGTGTGTGAGATGTTCACTGTAGGCATGACTGATCTGTGTGTGAGATGTTCACTGTAGGCATGACTGATCTGTGTGTGAGATGTTCACTGTAGGCATGACTGATCAGTGTGTGAGATGTTCACTGTAGGCATGACTGATCTGTGTGTGAGATGTTCACTGTAGGCATGACTGATCTGTGTGTGAGATGTTCACTGTAGGCATGACTGATCTGTGTGTGAGATGTTCACTGTAGGCATGACTGATCTGTATGTGAGATGTTGACTGTAGGCATGACTGATCTGTGTGTGATATGTTCACTGTAGGCATGACTGATCTGTGTGTGAGATGTTGACTGTAGGCATGACTGATCTGTGTGTGAGATGTTTAGTATAGGCATGACTGATCTGTGTGTGAGATGTTCAGTGTAGGCATGACTGATCTGTGTGTGAGATGTTCACTGTAGACATGACTGATCTGTATTTGAGATGTTCACTGTAGGCATGATTGATCTGTGTGAGATGTTCACTGTAGGCACGACTGATCTGTGTGAGATGTTCACTGTAGGCATGATTGATTTCTGTGTGTGAGATGTTCACTGTAGGCATGACTGATCTGTATTTGAGATGTTCACTGTAGGCATGATTGATTTCTGTGTGTGAGATGTTCACTGTAGGCATGACTGATCTGTATTTGAGATGTTCACTGTAGGCATGATTGATTTCTGTGTGTGAGATGTTTACTGTAGGCATGACTGATGTGTGTGTGAGATGTTCACTGTAGGCATGACTGATCTGTGTGTGAGATGTTCACTGTAGGCATGACTGATCTGTGTGTGAGATGTTCACTGTAGGCATGACTGATCTGTGTGTGAGATGTTCACTGTAGGCATGACTGATCTGTGTGTGAGATGTTCACTGTAGGCATGACTGATCAGTGTGTGAGATGTTCACTGTAGGCATGACTGATCTGTGTGTGAGATGTTCACTGTAGGCATGACTGATCTGTGTGTGAGATGTTCACTGTAGGCATGACTGATCTGTGTGTGAGATGTTCACTGTAGGCATGACTGATCTGTATGTGAGATGTTGACTGTAGGCATGACAGATCTGTGTGTGATATGTTCACTGTAGGCATGACTGATCTGTGTGTGAGATGTTGACTGTAGGCATGACTGATCTGTGTGTGAGATGTTTAGTATAGGCATGACTGATCTGTGTGTGAGATGTTCAGTGTAGGCATGACTGATTTGTGTGTGAGATGTTCACTGTAGACATGACTGATCTGTATTTGAGATGTTCACTGTAGGCATGATTGATCTGTGTGAGATGTTCACTGTAGGCACGACTGATCTGTGTGAGATGTTCACTGTAGGCATGATTGATTTCTGTGTGTGAGATGTTCACTGTAGACATGACTGATCTGTATTTGAGATGTTCACTGTAGGCATGATTGATTTCTGTGTGTGAGATGTTCACTGTAGGCATGACTGATCTGTATTTGAGATGTTCACTGTAGGCATGATTGATTTCTGTGTGTGAGATGTTTACTGTAGGCATGACTGATGTGTGTGTGAGATGTTCACTGTAGGCACGACTGATCTGTATGTGAGATGTTCACTGTAGGCATGACTGATGTGTGTGTGAGATGTTCACTGTAGGCACGACTGATCTGTATGTGAGATGTTCACTGTAGGCATGACTGATCTGTGTGTGAGATGTTGACTGTAGGCATGACTGATCTGTATGTGAGATGTTCACTGAAGGCATGACTGATCTGTATTTGAGATGTTCACTATAGGCATTCATCCAACAGAAGTAGTCTAATCAATCCTGCGTGCCAGAATGTCAGCTAAAATATCCTGATCTGTGAAAGGGAAAACAAATAAAGCTCAAGGTCACAGAAATATAAAACCTGTGATCATGAAGCTAGCATTTTGTTATCTTATTTCCCAAGTGGCTTCAGGTATTGTTGGTCTCATGTATGAATGTACTTCTGACAATTGAGCAGAATAAATGGCAAGTGATGTCTTCAGGTATTGTTGGTCTCATGCGTGAATGTACTTCTGACAATTGAGCAGAATAAATGGCAAGTGATGTCTTCAGGTATTGTTGGTCTCATGCGTGAATGTACTTCTGACAATTGAGCAGAATAAATGGCAATGTATTAATTATAGGTATTGTATATAAAACCGTGGTGAATAAATGCCGAGTGACACTGCTCATCTGATGTTTTAAGTTGGCTGAAAAAGTTTGTCATTAGTCTCAGTTCCACCTCCCAGCAAACAAGTCACCCCATTTATTGTTTTGTTTCTGTGCCAGTGTAAACTGAATCAAATGCTTATCACTGTCTCATGTGGAACGTTGAACTGACTGCTCTTCCTATAAAGTCAGCAGCGTACTAAACATAGTAAATACAAAAAGCAGCCTCCAAAGGTGCCAACATAGTCCACCACTAGAATTGCAGTTCATCATTGGAGGCAGCAGCAGTCACACGAAGCAGCAGTTTTATACACATTACTGCACAGGGCACTGCAAGTTCTGGGACAACTAGTCAGTTACAATTTTCTGAATATATAGTTTACAACACAAACAACCTTGAGTACAGACAAAAAAAACATTCCACAACACAAACAACATTGAGTACAGACAAAAAAATATTCCACAATGCAAACAACATTGAGTACAGACAAAAAACATTCCACAACACAAACAACCTTGAGTACAGACAAAAAACACTCCACAACACAACCTTGAGTACAGACAAAAAACACTCCACAAGACAAACAACCTTGAGTACAGACAAAAAACATTCCACAACACAAACAACCTTGAGTACAGACAAAAAACATTCCACAACACAAACAACCTTGAGTGCAGACAAAAAACACTCCACAACACAAACAACCTTAAGTACAGACAAAAAACATTCCACAACACAAACAACCTTGAGTACAGACAAAAAACACTCCACAACCTTGAGTACAGACAAAAAACACTCCACAAGACAAACAACCTTGAGTACAGACAAAAAACACTCCACAAGACAAACAACCTTGAGTACAGACAAAAAACACTCCACAAAACAAACAACCTTGAGTACAGACGAATAACATTCCACAACACAAACAACCTTGAGTACAGACAAAAAACATTCCACAACACAAACAACCTTGAGTACAGACAAAAAACATTCTGCAACACAAACAACCTTGAGTACAGACAAAAAACACTCCACATCACAAACAACCTTGAGTACAGACAAAAAACAGTCCACAACACAAACAACCTTGAGTACAGACAAAAAACATTCCACAACACCATCAACCTTGAGTACAGACAAAAAACATTCCACAACACAAACAACCTCAAGTACAGACAAAAAAAACTCCACAAAAAATAATAATTCAGAGAGGTGCACTATGTACTAACCTCAGTACCTGAGCGATGAAACTAAGTACCTTAAGTCAACATATATGGAAAATGCATCAGTAAATGTGGCTAGAAGCAAAAAACTGCAAACAACACTCCAAAGCTATAATGGGCACCTTGCCTATGGATCAACTGGCTAAGTGTTTTTCAATGATGTTACTTAAACTACTTTTCTTTTTGTTATGAGTGCATTCTTGTGTTTCTGTTTAAGGGTGTGTGTTTCTCACTTTGTATATCATCTGAGGTTGTCTTAAAGGCCCTAACAGTATGTTTTTTTTCTGTTCTGCATGGCTTCTGATATGAGTATCAGATCAAAATTAATCCATGTTATATATATCATCATCAGGATGCTCGCCAGTGCAACGGAGTTCATGCACTGCGCTGAGATTCTTCAGACTCAGGCTTGAGTTAGAAGTAGAATATAGCACTTATGGGTTACACCTGTGTGCCATGATGTTGATCTGTCAAATATCAGTTGTCAGTTAGCCTTCTTGATTTTATTATTATATCCATTTTGTGCACATTATGACAAAACCTAAACATCCTAAATATAGCAGTAAACACATTTTTTGATCAGTTTATTGTAGATATACACTACTGCGGGCTAACTTTACAGTCAGTTCATATCTAAGGGCCGCCACTTCTTTCCTGGTCCTCCTGCTGTTCTTCCTCTCCTTCAAACACACCTTCCCCTCCCTCACACCCGCCCTTCCCTTCTCCCACCCTCCCCTCCCTCACAACCTCCCCTCCTCAGCCCTTCATCGCCAACCAACAAACAAACATAATATCTCTTACACAGTAGCAAGAGATGGTGTCATAAACAATGACTTTCTTCTTCTTCGCATTTACTGGCTGTAAACTCTAGTTGAAAGTTAAGGTTGTTCATCCACTTTTGGCTTTAATCTTGTACAGGATTTGAGATTTACATGCACATCTGTTTAACAGATCTGGCTTATTCATATGCAGACTGTTGGTTCCTCGCCTCTAAGGCTAATGCATTCCAACACCCCTAATTAGTCAGTCTTATGACATACTTCTCAAAGGTCAGTGGCCAGGCGAGGAGCAAACCATGACCGACATTTCAACGTCCATGTAGCCCAGTCATGTGATAGGGTTGTGACTCAAAGAGGCGCATCATAGCTCACATTTAACAGAACAGTTCAAGATCCACCGTTCCCACCCTCCCCCACTTACAATTAGGGCACCCATACTGTAA